ATGTCGAATTTGTTAAACTGCTAAAGGGTGCAGGAAGAATGAGCCTTCTTGTGAAGTCGTAGTCAGCCAATGTTCTGCGCCCTGGGTCACAGTGAATGTTTAGAATGTGGTCTGAATTCTACAGATCATTGTGTTCTCACGATATCCCATCATCGTTAGACGAGAGAGTACCACTGAACTTTTTCCATTATTGTAGTACGTAAAACATAATAAGCGAAGGGTTTTAACATGAAAATTATGTTTCTGAACGAAATTAGGGTGCGGGCAGCGCAACGGTTAGAGGCGCTCTAACCACTGCGCTACACGCTCCAGCTGCGCTCACGCGAAATTATGCATTTGTGATAGCTGTTTATCGCTTATAGCCCTTAAGAGTTTGTTACAACTATTCCAACCAATTCCGACGACCAACCCTATTAATCTTTGTATTTTTCAGTATGTCAGCGTTTTCCTTTTGAGCGGATATTAGTTTGTTAATAACAAGATTTATTCAGTACTGTCTGATGTCCCTGCCGTTCTTGCTTTTTCAGAGCTTAGGAAGGTCATGTTAATTGCAACATACCCAGTGAAACATCTCCATAGCCACCCCACCCCAACTACGAAACGTATGTTGCGATTGCATTGAAATCAAAACAGCTTCTTCACAAACTCACCGTTTTCACTTACTGTTCCACTGAGTATTCATTGGGTAAACTAATCGTACAGAGTTTGCGTGAATGGGTATTTCGTCTTCCTAACATCAGAGCATCTGTGTGAGATAGTGCATGAGATTTTCGTGGTAGCGAAGTATTCCTCTCTATGGTTGGTTTTTGAAATCTTGGAATTTATCCAAAATGCTTCGTAGGTTTAACGCGCTGAAGTTCTAGATTTCTGTGCGAGGATGGTGATTCTAACTTCTGCAACTCTTTCGTAATGTCTTTATGCCCTATGCGCGCCTATAACAGTATTTGGTTCAATTTTACGCTCACCGACTTGGGTGTTCTTTTGCATTGATGCACAGTGATCTACTCGTTTCGCCAATGTATTTGCCCTCGTACACTTTGCAAGAGATCAGATAAACTGTATCCGAACTAATGTAGTCACCATCTTTACCGTCAGGACAAACTGCAATTTTGCATTGTGTATAGCCGGTCATATAAACGGTTACGAACTAGCTAGCATCTTAGAGTGTTAAGTTCTATTTCCGCCACTCCTCACCATAGATTTAAAGGAAGGAGGCCAGCTTGTTTGTAACCTCTTGTATGACCGTCCATGCACAATACAGAATTGCATAATTTGCCCTAACGGTGGAGACGGTGATTATATCGGTTCGGATACGCTTACGTGAACTCTTGCAAAATGTGCAGGTACGAATACATTGGCGAGACGAATAGACCACTGTGTGTCAGTGCAAAAAAAAACACCAAGTTGGTAAACGTAATATTAAGCCAGATACTTCTGTAGGCGACTATAGGGCACAAAAACATGACGGAGGAGATTTTGAAGTTGGAATCACCGTCCTATATGGGAATCTAAAAGATTACTTATTTACTTGATATTTGAACGGCCCGTCCTCATTAGTTGTGCGGGCCCCTGCATAATCACCATTTTTCGGAGATTTGCTGGTTAAGCCATTGTGGTTCTCTGGAATCCTGAGAACAGCCTGGCCAAGGTCTGCCGCAGGTCGTCACCACGGCAGGCAGTCACAGCCCTTGTGCATCAAAGGGAGATTTGCCACCATGCGACTTTGACACCAGGACGGTGGTGGATCTTGGTATTGGTTTATTCTTAGCTAGGTTTCCTGATGGAAACGCCGAACTCCTTCTCAGCATGGGAGACCTTGCCGGGAGGACGATTCCCCCGCTGTACATTGCATTCCGACACCCAGGAGCACCTCCTAGCCACGATGAGACGGTAAACCGTTGGGAGGAATCTAAAAGATCTAAGGAGATCTAAAAGATTAGCGCATAGATAAAAGATATTTATCTTGTTCCAATCCGACCTATTATCTAATCATTTCTGATCTGATCTACGACCTGATATCATGCGTGATCTAACCTATGGTTCAAGCCGATTTGACCCGTTGTGTGCCCTTTATGCTCTAGTTCCATGTGAACTGGTCTGATCTGATTCGACATGATCTACGGTCCTATCTAATGCTACGTTATCTTAGGTGACTTGTTCAAATCCGACCTATTATCTGATCTTAGGTGTAAGTATTCTGAATAAATTCCAAAAATCCAAAGATGAAAAAGTAGTGAGCGATATCTCGTTATCACACATGATCCCACACAGTATCTCAGACGCGTATTTTGATATGGGGGAGGCGAGTTGCCCGTTCATGTGAACTCGGTACGATTGGTTCTCACGAGATATACTCAGTGGAAGAATTACAGAAACGGTAAGTTGTTGAAGAAGGTGTTTTGGTCTCAATGCGATCAAAATGTGAGTTTCGTGTTTTTTCTATTGGGGTTATAGAGGTGTTTGGTTAGGTATGATGCAGTTAGGGTGCGCGTGTAGGTCAGTGGTCGGAGGCGCCCTTCAATACACGTGGGATCGATCCCCGTGTCCCAGGCCAGCCAAGCCTTTCATTGCTCCGGTATCGGTGAATTGGCACGGGATTCTTCTGTAAGGATAGCAACACTGGCTCGATAGATTGGTAGACCACCGCGAGTCATTGTAAAGGCCAGTTATGCATTGACTCACCTCCAGTGATGCTTAGTGAATTCGAATGCATGGTGGATCCATCAGGGATTGATCAACGCCGAGAGTTTCATCTTATCTATTAAGCAAACTTGACTTTTGACATTCAGTTTCGAGATTTGGCACGTTTATGCCTTAACATCGCTCGAAAATTCGCTTATAGTTTTTTTTCCTAGGATTTATGCATTATGAACACTATACATTTCTATAAACAAATGACTAAATAAATATGTATATATATACATATTTCCAGTTAAAATTGTAGACTGACTGACGGCGGTGCCAATAGTCTCCATTTGTCACACGGTATGTAGGAGTAGCCCAGTGAGTTCTGTTAGCTCTAGGGACTGGCTGAGCATCATATTGTTCTTCTGAAGTTTTCGAGAAGAACTGTGACAATCGAACAGTTGGTCTTTCTGCTGTGCATTTTAAACCCTGCTGACCAATTTGCTGACGGTTCCTGTCCACCAGTTTTCTTGAAGACGCGTAACATGACCGATCTATTTGGACATCGTCACGTATACAACGGCGCTTTCAGTCTTTGATCATCGAATTAGGTCGCACTTTCGCATTTCTTTCTCAGTAACCTTGCATCGGATACCCCTACCATACCGTCTTGCAACCACATGCCATAACACTGGCTGTTCTTTTACCAAACTTACGTAGCATCGAGGTTTTGAGGCGTAGGTCAAGAAACGATGGATCTATAGAGAAATCGTAGGTTCGGAAAGCTGGGCGCGAATGGGATTGTTCTTTATCCTGTTCACTACATCTTTGATACCATTCTTCTATGTTTTCTTAGCCACTCGCTTCCTCGTAATCTTTTTGTTCTCAACTCTGGAACAAAGTCGTTTATCGTATTGATTTCTCTCCCCAAGCATATATACCAGGAGCAGTTAAAGGTGTTCTTTCCAGCTAGGCATGATGGCATTGGAGATAAAATCGTATTTTATGCAAACTATGTTCTTTAGGTTCAACTGAATGCAGATGCGGGCTAATTCTTTTTGTCTCATGCCAGTTTTTGCACGATGTTATTGATGAGAGATGGTATCGCCTTATGGTGTCGTGGTGTCCTTACATGAGTGATAACTTTGCTGTAAAATAACGTATTCTTGTTATAAACTCGTTGTAAGCGCAATAATTTTCTTTACATAGTGGACAGGGTTGTGCTGGATATCCGCAGCTTCAATGACGCTTCTGCCTCAATTGAGCCGAAAGCATTTTTCAATTCGATGAGAATGAAACAAAGCATTCTTCCCGACTCTCGTATGTTTTCTTGTCATATAGATGTAACCCATAATATGGAATAATTCGGGAAACCCTGCTTGATCACTTGACTGTATTCTTGTGCTCGATTGCAAGGCTTGCAGACAAAAAGACATCAGGTAGGTTCTGTGTTGCTCATTTAGGTCCCGTTTTTGTACATCAACACTGTCTTGTCGGTCTCTCATTTATTTTGGACCTTGCGTACTGAAAGGTATCGAGTGAAAATGGCGTGCCATCTCAATAGCTTTTGAGAACAGCTCTTAGTGAGTTTCACACTCTTGTTTTGTTTAGCCTTACGGAGCGACACCCTCTTGTGAGAATACTCAATTTGTCAGTCATGTTACTCATTGATGTTTGCGGTAACAGTGTATTAACAGTATTGCTCATAAAAGCGGCTGGTGTAATGAGAAAAGTCGTGGATTCTAACACGCTACCCTGGAGAGTTTTTCTTTTCTCGTATTTTTCACCTTTTTTTATTCCGAAAAGAAAAGAATATTGAGGGAGACAACAATCCTGTGTTGAGTTCTGAAAAAATTGCGCAATCTCTTAGAGAAAGCTTCGATTCACTGTTATACTTATTTGGATACTTGAATGGCCTGTCCTCACTGGTAGTGCAGTCCCCAGCATAATCTCCATTTTTCGGAGATTTCCTGATTAAGCCATTGTGGTTCTCTGAGGTCCCGAGGTCAGCTTGGCCAAACTCTGCCTTAGGTCTTCACCGCCACAGGCATTCGCAGTCTTTTTGGATTAGAGGGAGAGATTTGCCACTATGCGACTAATTTGATGCCAGGACGGTGGTGGATCTTGGTACTGGTTTACTCTTAGCTAGGTTTCCCGACGGAAACTCCGGACTTCTCAGCTAGGGAGACCCTGCCAGGTGATGAATCCCCCGGCTGTACATCGCAGTCCGACACCCGGGAACACCTAACCACGTCGAGGACGTAAACCGTTGGGTGGGATTCATTGATATACTATGTTTGTTTCTGATACGGGATGGTAAACGACTTTCCACGTCCAATATTGAGAGAAAGAGTTTTGAATTTGAGTCACGATTAATGTGCATCATCATCGCGATAAATTCAGTTACCGCTGAATTCGTACTCCATTTCAGTTTATGCGTTCCGATGTGAAGTTTTCCAAAGCTTTTCTGAGGCTTTACTTGGCATTGACATCGCTAATAACTGCATTATTGAAGATCTGATGCTTTCCGTAGGATGTTGGAATTTCTACAGTTCATATAGAATACCTCTTCTTCACCACGGCTTGTTGTTGGCGCGCAGATGACAGAAATTGTCAACAGCGCTCACGAAGGTGGTAGTCGGCTGGGCTTCTCAACACAAGATTGTGAAGATTGGACCGTCCTCAGTGGACAATTCCAAGTACGCATGCACCATTTTTTGACGACTGTAAGTCATGGTATAGCCTTGATAAGAATTCAACCACCTTGATGGTGCTCGATGAAGTGAAATGCATGGAGCATCAATCAAAGGTTGATCAACGCCGATTGCTTAATCTTCTTCCCGTATCTGTACTTTATTGTGTTTGTGCCGATTTCACCTTCCTTGCGTAGTGATTTAGCAACTGCCTCGAGATACTTTTTTCCTAATCATGTTCGAAGCGTGTTAGTTGGAAATCTTCGCCATTTGTTCCAATTTCGAACACTTCTGCTGTGAAAAGAAGATATGAATGATAAATAAACTTCTCGGAACATGTTTACTGGCTTCTACGAGTTATGAACTTGACCAAGTTGTTCTTTTTTGTTCCTCATTTTGATTTCTTTGTGGTTTCATTCTCAGCAACTACTTTCTTCACCTCTTTTCTTCTTGTATTTTCCGACACTTGTGCTGCATTTCAAGTCATTCTGTTTCGATACGTTACGACACAACAGTTAAGATTTTCAGGATGTTGATCTCAGGTATTCTTCTCCTGCTGCTCGCTTTCGTGCGAGCGGACCTCTTCACATCGATCGCAGATATGCAGAATTTACTCGATTCGGAAAAGAACGTCCCATTTATGCTTTATAAATATATCGAAAGCGAGCGCCAACGGCTTGAAGAGCTTAGAGCGTTAGTTTTTTCTTTGGATTTCCGTTGAAGTCGGTCGTAACTACTTATTAGACGTATCGGACGTGGATAAGATAGAAGGCGACTGCTATCGAACATTTTTTTGAGAGTTTTGAGACTTTTTAACACTTTTCTCTCTGCTCACATCTAGAATGACTTATGTTGTCACACAGAACTATTACTTCAAAGGACTTTCTAGGATTTCTAATAGGTGGAGACGTTGAATTAGAGCTCTCGGTTCTATTACAAAAGTTAAAATGCGCAGGACTTTAATCTAGCAGTTCCTAATGTGAGCCAAAGTGTTCGATTTTTGCTCGTTCCATGCCATGTAAGGATTTTCCGATCTGACGTTGGAATCCACTTGTCCCTAAATGTCGGACATCGTTTAGTAGTCTTGCTTCTGCTGTAAAATGGGCATGTGGTATGCGGGTATGTAAATGTAGCTTATGGTATGGAGCTCAGTGGATTACCCACACCAGATGTTGTATTAACTACCGAGTAACTTGATTGGGCGTCAGTAAACCCCTCTCTCCCGTATAGCATGCTACAGCCGCTTTCTGGATTTGTTGCGCAAGAGGAACCAAAGAGCACCACACTTTCTTATTATGCCATTTTTTCACTACTTTCGGCGGCAAAATAATCGTAGGTACGTATCGCTTCCCGTCGATGTGTAAATAGACTGTGGTTATCCTTTTTGATATAAAGTTGCAGCCCTATCTAATCTCGGGGATCTTTTGATGGGATGAACCACCATTGTTCAATGGAGCTAGACACCCAGTACCACAACGAACAAGTATAGCAACGATGATGCGCTAAATCATTTGGTGTGTTTAGTAGATGCCCAAAATCGCAGTATGGTGCTTTATAAAAGCTGTAAGGTCTGTGATTTGATTAGTTAGCAGGCTATTTTTGTCATTTCACGCTGACCATTGAGTGTTCAAGTGGATCAAGTGGATTTGCTATTGTATTTTCAAAATTTCACTTTAAAATAGTTTACGAAAGAATATATCAGACAGAGAAATAATTCAGTCTGGCAGAGGAGTACCAGATACAAAATGAAGAGTCTCTTGTGACCGGAATCAAAGACATTTCGAACCCAATCAATGCCTTCCTGCTCATCAAGAGAAAGGTACAACTTAGTTGTGTACAGATTTCCTTAGTATATGCAATGTCTATGTAGTACGAGCGCACGTTACTGTAGTATTGTTTGCTGGGTGAGTGGCGGCGATGAATCTCACTTTGCTTGCTCGTCATCAACACCGTGAAGTTCTTACCTCTGTTCGTCTATCAAATCGCATTGAGAAGCCTAATAACATGTGAGCAGGCAGTGTTGCCATCTTCACCGTGGAGTTTCTTACTTCCTCTTAGGGGGCGATAGTGAGACTATCTTTCGAAATACCGTTTTCTTCTGGTCGGTAGTAATTTGTTATTTAAGAATAGTCCATAAACCAAGTAGCTGTTTTTCCTATGTCCTCCGTATTGGTTAATTACTTGCAGATTTTTGACTGGAAACGTATTGAAGAGAAAATGTTGAAGAACAACGCTGAGTCGTTCATCGATCGTATGGCGAATGTGAACTATGGAATTCGTTACCCTACTGAGGTGATCATTTGATACCTACATCTAGAAGCTGTTCTAAAAGAAAGAGGCCCAAAGACTGCCCTCAGATGAATGAACCCGATTGTGAAGCCAGTTTTCACGCTTTTTTAGTTCAGATCTCGCTCTGACGTTTTTTGACGTTTTTAAGGAGGACTTGACAGGAGCGGCGATTGGTCTCCTGCGACTGCAAGATACCTATCGACTGGACACCGGAGACCTTGCGAATGGAAGGATTTATAAGGATCAAGGAAATTACACATTTGATGGTGAGTAGACGGTCTGAAAAGTCGGCCTTCATATAAAAAGTTTGTATGGAACCATCGTCAACGCGACCGGTCGAAGAAATTTTAAGCAGAAGTATTGATCTACTCTGTTCCATCGATTTTCTAGGTCCTACACCTTAGGAAGGTGTTTTTATGAAAATGTGCATCCTTCAGAGAAGTGAACAATTTAAACTAGAAACAACAGCACGGCCACCAACGTCTTATCCTTGAGTTAAAATTAAAAGATAACTAGGGTTAAACTTTTCTATTTACACTGAGACTCTTAATCCCTGAATTTCTGGACTATTTTCACACAGCGAATGATTTTATTTACAGCTGGAGACTGCTTCGTGATTGCTAAAGCGGCCTATAACGATGGTGATTACTACCATACGATTTTATGGATGGACGAGGCGAAGAAGCGCCTTGAGCAGGAGTCCGAACCGACCGCCGATATACGTGAGGTACTGTCAAAATCGGCAGCCCTTATTTTTCGGCTCTATAGCTTTTTCCAGGTGTTGGAATACCTTTCGTATTCGATGTACAAGCAAGGGAATTTAAAACATGCGTTGAAGCTTATTGAAGAGCTATATGAGCTCGGTAAGCGAGCTCCCATACGACTTGTTTGCTAAGTTGATAAGAACCCAAACAATAAAAACCGACAATTCTTATGGAGCGTTGAATGCGTTATATTCTTTACAATAATAAAAGTATTGGGTTGAGAAAAAAACAGGACATTGAAAGGATCGCTGACGCACTCATTTTTTAGAATAATCAGATATTAATTAAAATATCAAAATATTAAAAAAATATTAATTTACGGAAAGCGGACACTGTTTCTCACTAAACTTGCGGAGAAAACAAAAGGGAAATGAAGTTTTACAAAAGCTCTTCTCCTAGAACAACTCAGGACGCTGCAGCCATTGGATACTGTGTTTTTGTCTAATACGGTAACAGATTTCGGAAAAGAAAACCTTAATGGGAACATTTTTCCGCATGCACTATTATATAAACAGTACCTTTGACTTTCCTAATGTGGGAATCGTTGGATAGCACATTTTATTGCCCCCTTGGAAAGGTGGAAAACGCAAAAGATGTCAAAAAATTACGAGTAACTGAGACTTCTAGTCGTCTTATCTGCGGAAGTGAGTGAGTTCAAGAATTTTGAGCTAATATGACACAAAGGACGCGTGTGGCGCGGTAGCTGGAGGCGCCCTACAACACACACGCGGAATATATCCCGGCACCCGTGGCCCACCAAGGTTTCCATCCCCCGGAGTCGGTAAATTGATACCAGACTTGTCTGGAAGGATAGCAACAGTGGCTCGATACATTGGTAGACCACCGCGAGTCATTGTAAAGGCCAGATATGCATTCAGTCACCTCCAACGATGCTTAATGAAGTCAAATGCATGGCACATCCCTCAGGGATTGATCAACACCGAGAGCTTTAGAGCTCTATGATACAAAGTAGGCTAATTTTAGTTTGAGTCACAGACAAAACGTTTTTCTGAGAATGTAATGTGTTTTTCAAGTTTCAGTACTATGAACAGTTCAGTTTTTAAGCAATTTCAATCATCCCGTAATTCTCGTCGTATTGAGGAAATCGTCGATCTTCATGTTGTAGATCCAAGTCATCCTCGAGCTAAAGGTAATATAAAATGGTACGAAGACTTGCTTGCACAGGAGGGAGTGAAGAAATCAGAAATGAGAAGGTGATTCTTTCGTTAGGTTCTCTTATTTCAACCAGAACTCTAAAAATTCATTTCAAGAACAAACTTTCCTCTAACCTCAGCTTAGCTAATCAACATATGTGTTTTCATTGATAAACTAACACGAGATTAACAAAATATTTCGTTCTGAACCAAAGCTTTAACTAAGTAATATAACTTCAAATCGCCAACTTAAACTGTTAAACTTTTAAACCTTATAAAACTTAAAACTTTTCACAACGTCTTTCTAAATAATGTGTCGTCGCACTAATATATTTGTAATTTTTTCTTAATCGCTTTGGATGAAGGTCGGCATCATTCTTCACCACATTTCTTGGTTGCTAGCAACTTTGAATGTCGTGCTTCATGTCACCTACGGCAGAGCTTCATCCTTCATACAGAGCCATCCAATTTCTGGGCAGTTCAGTCGGAAAGCTAAACGAAAACTTTTGGAAGAATTGACTGATGCTCCATAATTTGCTCAAAAAAAAATAAAGCGTAAAGCTCCCGGCGTTGATCAATTCGCGGGGGATGCACCATGCACCCGAACTCATTAAGCATCGTTGTAGTTGGCTGAATACATATCTGGCCTTTACAACGACTTACGGTGGCCTACCGATATATCGAGCCAGTGTGATATCCTTCTAAGCAAGTCTGGGACCAAGTTCCTGACTGGGATAGAGGGCTTGGTGAGCCTGTGGCGCGGGATCGAACAAACGACCACGTTTGTATTGCAGGATACCTCCAACTAGTACGCTACGTGGTTGGCTGACATCGTCTGAAAGCACTACCATCTTTATCATCACTCTCATCATTATGATTGATTATTAATTTATTGTCATTACGAATTAAAATTAATTGTTGATCACAATCTTAACCGTTTTATTTACTGCCTACTCTTTTTAATGGCAGGGTATATTTCGAAATATAACTTCAATTATGCTGAGATATTGGCAAAGCTCCGGATCGCAGGTGTCTGCGGTGGGGAACGACCGCGCTATTGTTCTTTCCGGGGAGTAACGCGCTCATCACCACACAATGCGAGCCTTTCGTTTCGCCTGTCTCTCAGCTAGTTCTATCGATCTTTTGCCATCAGCAATCACCTGTCAGCGGGATTGATCTGGGAAGCCCAAATCGGCAGCGAACCCAGTTAAGCTGAGACTGCAGTTATAATCACAATTTTAATTTATTATTCCCCTGTCTACTTCGTTTTTTAAACTTCATTAATCATCGTTCGGAGGTGACTGAATGCACATCTGACCTTTAAAATGGCTCGTGGTGGCCAACCGATGTATCGAGCCACTGTTGCTGTCCTCCTAGACAAGTCTAACCATTTTGCCGACCCCGGAGGGATGGAAGGCTGGGTGGGCTGTGGGGATCGCCATCGATTCCACGTGTGTGTTGCAGGGCGCCTCCAACCACTGCGCCACACGCGCCCTCATTAATTTATTGTTGTTGATTAACTATTATTAATTTCACCACAATTGTGCTGAGATATTTGCAAAACACCGGGTGACAGGTGTTTGTGGTGGGAACCGAACACGCTATTGCTGTTTCCGAAGGCTGACGCGGTCACCACCTCATTATGTGCGTCCTTCGGTTTTTGTGGTTGGTTTCGCTTAATACCTTGCCGTAAAGATTGTAGTAGGCAGTAAATAAAGAAGTTAATGTTGTTAATTCGTTTGTTTAACTAATGAATTACTAATATTACCTGTTAACTTATTAATATTAATAAGTGCTTAGTAATTTGTCACTACTATTATTGTGGCACGAGTAGCACAACGGTTAGAGGTGCTTTTAATACACACGGGATCCGCCCCTGATTTTGTCCCGCATACATGGTCCATCGAACTTTTCACACCTCCATGGTCGGCAAATAGGTGCTAAGCCTAAATAGGAAAGCGTCCCTCCAGTGCACAATGGCCTACGACTTTTTGTGATGAAGAGCTGGGGACGCACTAACGGAACGTTGTCCAAAATTCCAAGGAGAATCAAGTGGGTCAGCATTCGACGATTTCCATGGAGAAGACACATTCACTAAATGGCATCCGAACAGATATATAAATTCAAAGGCCTGCGTTAGGGTGTCTATGACGGATGTAGGTTAAAGAACCGAATGAAGAAAGTGCTGGGATTCATAAGATATATAGGAATGAGTCGCTTAAATATCAGTAAACAAATGATATTGAACTATTACTGTTTAATACTTTGTTTACCTTTCTTTAACACTTTATTTAGTCAATCTGTGCCTCACTGGTGATGCATCTATCTTGTAGCAAATACTTTTTATAAATAAGGATATTTTCAGATCTATTGGTCATCCGACAAACCGACGACCTTCAAGTTCTCTTGGCAACGAAGAGCGAACCATCTACGAGGCGTTGTGCAGGAACGAAGTGCCAGTAGTGAGTGATGTTCCTTGTTTTCATCTTTTTTTAATTGCACAACTCCTTCTATCCGCATTCTTGAGATCCCATCTGAGAGTTATACATTCTTTTGCAAACAAATTTCTTGTTTTAATCGAATCTGAACGTTTCCTTTAAGAGCGAGAAGGACATCTCCAAATTGTACTGCTACTACAAACGAGATCGGCCGTTCCTCGTCTATGCTCCCATTAAAGTAAGTTCACCGCTATTCGGAACCCATTCAAGCCTAGAGGGACTTACAACTCGTGTTATAAATGAATTAGCTCGGATATAGGAGTATTCGTAGGAGATTCGATTAAAGTCGGTGTGTGGGGAGTCGGGAGGAGGGTGGGGGTGGGCTATTTCAAAGTGGTCTCCGATTTTATGAAATTATGGTGGAACAAATTGACCATCTGGTTTGAACATACGACGGCCTTATGAAGAATCTAGCACTCTACTGACTGATTTAATGAGGAAAAATGTGGGACTGACCAGAAAAACGACCCTGTGAAAGTATCCTCTAATCCTCGACGGGTAACTGGTTATTCTGATGCCTATTTAACTGAGCGGTCTAACCACGTTAGAGATCAATTATGTAGTTCTGATAAAGCAACTGAGAAGTCAGGCTTCTGACTGATTTAATAAATAGGAACGGGGAACTGACCAGCAAGACGAATCTGCGAGCGTGTTTCCCAATTCTCAATAGCTAACTGGTTTTTTCTAATGTCCATTTCACTGAGCGACCCAACCAAGTTAGTGGATAATTCTGCAGCACTTGTAAAGCAACCCACTAGTCAAACTTGCGTACTTAGTAGGGAAGTGCTAAGGTTATTATCAGGCGGAAAATTCGGTTACGACCTAACTTCTTGGCTCTTCAAAGCTCACAAATAGGTCATATTTTTGCATGCCCAGTTTTTTTTTTATGAATGAATGAGAAACATAATGGATAGGAAAGTTGAAAACGCATTGATTCACAAACGTAAGAAGAACGATGAGTGAAAATGGAAAGACGCCTACTTGGGCAATTAATACTATTATTTATGAATTTTCTTCTCGACTTATTTGTAACGAAAATTAATCTGTGCTAAAGCTGGTGCTACAGCTGGAGACTGTCTTGGGTTGCTGAGCTACAGATTATGGTCCCAGTAATTCTAGGGAGAATTTTTTACCTACATTTTCTGATGTTACGCTTTCTCGCCTCGTTCGGCGAATTGTATGTGAACTGAGAAACGAAACAAAAACTGAAACTTGTTTTTGTGTCAAAAATCGTGGGCTCACTGGCAACATTAACAGGTTTCATCCGATTTCAGATCGAAATCAAGCGGTTCAATCCACTTGCTCTCCTTTTCAAGGAAGTGATTAGCGACGAGGAGATCGAAATGATTGAAGAACTAGCCAAACCACGGGTTAGTATGGAGTCTGTCGAAGGCTTATGCGTTCAATATTCACAGTACTACATTGTATTTGACCACATGAAATAGATAAGTTATTTGGCTACTCGGTGACAGATGTGTTCCTTATTTCTAAAACCGACTTTCCTTGAATTTCGGTTTGAATAACTAATTTACACACTTTCATTGATAAGCTAACACGAGGGTTGATGAACCAGACTGAATGATGCCCAGCTAGATTCGGCTTAATGCGATCACGTAGACCCACATCGGATGAAAGAACAACTGTGGATAATCAATTAGAATCAATCCAGCTGTGAAGGGGGCGATGGCACCGAAACGCTAGCTGAATGAAGTTTTTTTTATCAACCTCATGTCAGCTAATCAATAGAAGCGTAAGTAATGAGTTCCATTATATAATGCTGGAATGTGGTGTTGCTGTTTTTAGCTGGCCCGTGCTACCGTCCATGACGCTGCTTCAGGAAAACTGGTCACTGCCAGTTACAGAATTAGCAAGAGGTATCTGATTTTTCATTTTAGGTATTGTTTCTCCTCCATCATAGGTCTTTATACCTTATAACAGCGCGGATCAAGTTGCTCAGATTGCGCTCACAATTAGATTTGGTCACCTTTTTCAAAGTTTCTATTATCGTTGTGTTAGTGCTTTTTATTAGTTCCTACGTAGAAACTAGCAAATAAATACAGTCATTACCCCTACTTAGAGAAACCAACCTCACTAACCGTATCTCTCCGCCTTAATTCCAATTCATTTTTCTCCGTAATGATTGTCCTAGATGGTATACTTCGTGCGGAATGATGTTTTTCAGTTCCAGATGATGTCTTTCACTTACATTTACTGTGATGAAGTCATATATGGGAATAGGTGTCTAGATGAAGTAATCTGAGCTCAGTTTCCTTCTAGTACGAACTCGCTCATCGACAGGTGGACGAGAGATTGTGGGTCGGAAATTTTTGAGCAAAATATCTCTAAAAGTGTTTCTATCGCATGACGGAAAGCGGCGGTTGTCGTATGTCTGTTTAGCTCCGCAGTTTAGTCGTCAAGTCTACTTTGTTGTGGTTATGTGTTTACAACATATAGTTAGCGAGAACTGTTCTTCAGCGCCGTAGTGGTTCGAAGGTTATGGTAGTCGCATCTAGTCGAACCAGTTTCAGTGGAATACTTAATGAACGATGTAACCTAACCTCACTCGAAAATATTCATTTACACATATGGTATTTCACTGGCTGTCCATCGTTAATATCCGGCTATCCATTCCTGTCACTCTGAACCATATGATTTTTATTCCTTCTCGACCAGTACCGCTTCCTTTCCAGTTTCTGGGTGACTGCAATACTCGGGACAGATGAACGGAGCCTTTACAGAACAAATCTTGTGAACTAAGTGACACTTACCCAGCATCTTTGTATGCTTGCGGTCAGTTAACCCATAGATCTTGTTTTTGGTGGCGCCTATCAATCATACTTCATCGTGGAGCAGTATCCATGGTGTGTCATAGGCATATGATTGGTAGTGGTTTAGAATGATTAACACCTAGTGGAGCTCGAAGTTTCGACGTCTTTCACCGTTTGTCCCATTACAATAGAGATATAACAAACTGCACGCCAGCTTTGACCCTAAATGCTGTTTTTTAAGTTTTGATGTGTTCCTCGGCATCCCTACATTTTCACCATAAATAGTTACTCGTCTTTCTTATTCAAAATAGGGTGCTTTGCTAGAAATCATCGAACTTCTTCACAGTTTAGCTGGCCTGTAGGCGATATATGCACTTGTAGTACGCAGTGGCCCTGTAATTAGGGATACTCCTCACCACTCTGGAAAGCTAATCGCTAAACAGGAATGTGATTACAATAATAATCTAGTGGTTCATTGGATTATTAGTACAACGTTGATAAAAAGGTTTATTCGGCTAACGTTTCGATGTCTTCATCTTCCTCAGAGCCGATAATCCGAGTCGACAGTCTAGTATTCATACTCTCGATTTGGTGTCTTCGTCATGGTGTCGAGTTGAATCCTCTTCAGTGGAGTACCATTCGAATGAAGCGGCCTCATCCGACGATGTTCTTTTATACAAGACGGTTGTTGGTAATAATGATTGCTCGTTGGTAATAGTTTGTTTCCAAACGGACAATCCATCCAGCAGCAGTCGATACTACATTAGGTAGCACGTAACGAAAAGAAAACAGCTCTAAAGGTCGACTTTCTATAAACCTCGGTATAATAATCGGTATATCTGTTTTTATGTTTTTACGAACTGCCCTTTTTGCCATCGGACAGCCATGTGAGAACGCAGGGTTTCGAAAAGGATTTAGTACGATGGACCATATCCGCACGATAACAAGGCTCGTTGAAGTATCGCGAGAGTACAAAAGACCGCTCTGTCTCACTTTCATCGTTTTACAGAAGGCTTTTGATTCAGTCGAGATAGAAGCAGTTATGGAAGCCATTGATAGTCAAGGAGTCCCTACTAAGTACGTAAAGCTTCTTCGTGAGCTGTACAAAAATTTCACAACCAAGATTTCACCATTCTACAACGATATCAACATTGACGTCAATAGAGGAATTAGGCAAGGCGTTACCATCTAGCCAAAATTATTTGCCGCCACCCTCCAGAACGTCGTACGAACATTGGAATGCGCTAATATTGGAGTGAAAATCGACGGTCGGTAGTTACATCATCTTCGCTTTGCTGATGACATTGTCCTTATAACACCAAACATTAGCCAAGCGAAACGTATGCTTGCTGACTTTGATAAAACCTGTGGGAAGATTGCTCTTCGACTAAATCTCACAAAAATGATGTTCATGAATTATGGATTGGTTTCGTATGCCCCACTCACGCTCAACGGAGCGAATATATCCAAATCCTGCAGTTATGTCTATCTAGGTCGGGAAATCAATGTGATGAACGACCTGGCTCCAAAGATGTGCAGAAGGAAACGAACGGCTTGGGAGCTCTCAAGAGCATCAGGTATGTAGTGAAGAGAACAAAGAACACCCGACTTCGTGCCCACCCCTTCGACTAAACGGTACTTCCTGCACTAACGTATGCGTCAGAAATCCGGTCACTGCGTAAGCAAGATGAAAGGTCACTCAGCGTTATCGAACGCGCAGTCGAAAGGACGATGCTAGAAGTATCCCGTTCCACACAAGGGATGGGATCCGAAGCTCCGATATGCGTCAACGATCAAAAATCAAAGATGCCATTCTGTACGCCAAATAGTCGATGATAAGGTGGGCCGGACACGTAATGCGTATGAATGGCAACCGATGGAAAGGAGCCGTTAGTAACTGGATTACCCGGGATGTCAAACGTACTGCAAGAAGAACACCGACCCTATGGTCAGAGTTCTTCACAAGGAGCGTTGAAGAAAGATATAATGCTTAACGAGTCCCTAGAGCGAGTAGAACCCACTGGGCTACTGTCGCACGCGACAGGGAAAAGTGGAAGATTTACTGGCGCCCGCTCGAGTCACTCGATGATCAACGGGACTACAGGTGATACAGGTGATACCAACTGCTCTTTTTTAGCCGATGGTTGGTATAGATTTTATTATTGTTGCTATTGTCTTCGATCAATACGTTTTGGCGACTTCGCCTTCCTCAGAGCCTAGACGTATCATATGTAACAGTAGCCCCACAATTCGGTGAATTACCTAGTACTAATGAAGATCCAGCATACGAAAAGACTCCAGTTTTCAGAAACCATCCACTTTGCCGTTAGACTACTCGTGTATTGTTCACAAGGAATGATGATTGAGGCCTACCCATGGGAATGTGCATCAAAAGATCATCCCGAGGTAAGCTGCCATATCACATGTGATAATGATGCATTCGTTTCTCCTGTTCGTTTTTCGACTTTCGAATTATATCCAAAATGCCGTGAAATGTCTGCGTTGATGTTTGAGATTCCCACTTTAGGATCCCGACATTAATTTTAAAATCCACCACTATGCTTTTGTGCCATATGTGTACCCAGAACGGTGCTTTGTAGAATTTTAGCTTTTTACATCTAGATGTTCTTTTATGCGGCCATAAGGTGGTCTACTCGTTTCACTATGTATTCCTCCACACGGGTCTTACGTGAGATCAAGTATATTGTACCTGAACTCACATAGTCCCCGTCCCTGCCGTTAGGACAGGTTACACAATTTTCTGAGCTACACAAAAGATCATAGCGTATTAGCTGGGAGGTCAATAACTGCCACATAGCTTTCAAAAAGAAGACCAAGTACTAAAAGTATACTAGTGCAATACCTTTCCTCTCATCCTTCGCACATGAAGAAAGCTGTCATCGAAAAATGTGCCGAACAGCTATAAATATGTACACAGGAGAAGAGGAAAGGAAGGAATAGCTAAATTTGGCGCGAAAAATAGCCAGTTTCAATGGCTACGAAGAAAAAGCCACTTGGACTAGACCAGAAGGTAGGGTCATTCCCCAAAATAATGTTTGAAACTTAAATAAGATTTTTTTAACCTACCTTTCGTCTCAAACGAATTAAGTTACGCCATAAGTAGGAGTCTTATAAGAGGTGGCTTTGAAAGTTATGTTGCAGTTATTGATCTCCCACATAATGCACTACTCCATCAGTTAGTTCGCGACCGCCTCTATGATCGTTTGTGTAGCTCAGAAAATTGCGTGGTCTGTCCCAGTGGGAGAGACGGAGATTGTATGAGTTCAGGTACAATATCGTTGATCTCATGTAAGGGAGGAAACGCGTAGACCACCTTGTGTCCAGATAAAAAAGCCTGGATGGAATAGTTAAAGTTCGACAAACTAGTCCTCAGGGTACACATAAGCCATAAAAACATAATGGTGATGATTTTGAAGTAAATGTCCGGATCCTAGCGCAGAAATCGAAAACATCAACGTGCAAGACTCTTGAAGAGTTTTGGATAACTTTCAAAAGTCCAAAGATGAACCGGAAAAACGAATGCATCACATTCGCAATTAATGCACTATCACGCGTGATTTGTCACCTTATCTGGGAATGGCTTTTTGATGCACATCCTCACGGGTGGATCTCATTCATCATTCCTCGTGAACAACAAACGGGCGGTCCAACGGCAAGGAGGGTGGTTTTTGAAAACTGGCATCTTTTCATAAGTTGGATATTCATTAATACTATGTAATTAAACGAATTCTACTACTGTTACATATGATACGTCCAGATTCTGAGCAAAACAAAGTCGTCGAAACGTCAGCCATTGAACGATTACAACTACAATAATAAAAATATTTATACCAACCTCGCGTCGGCTGAAAAAAGACAGTTCCTAAGAACGTATATACAGACATCGAAAAGAGAATATTTTTCAAACCGACCATCACTTAACCTCACCATTAATAATCAATATCTTCTTGAACTATTAAGCTAACAGGAAATGACGAAAAAAAATTTGTTTAAAAATAACTAATAATTTGGTGCAGTTGTGTATTTAAAAACTAAATCTTAGTGCATGGTTGAAAGGATGGGAACACGAAGTAGTTGAACGAATAAACCAGCGCATCGATATGATGACGAATCTGAACATAGAGACGGCCGAGGAACTGCAGGTAATGTCCTTCCATGACTACACGTACTTCCTGGAATGTTTTCGATCTAGATTGCCAACTATGGCATCGGTGGCCACTACGACCCGCATTTCGATCACGCAAGGAAAGAGGAGAGCAAATCTTTCGATTCTCTTGGAACCGGCAATCGAATCGCCACCGTGTTGTTTTACGTAAGTAAAAACTTAGGTTTACTTGTTGTCAGAAGTATTTATCAAACTGCTTGAGAGCAGATACGTTTACGGCAATATTTGACAAGGTTGTGCATGTGTAGTTAAAGTTAAACTTGGTGTGCACCATAAATGTGTTGGTATAGACCGATTTCCGACTACCATTAGTAAAATAGTCATCCATTCCTTGTCTGAAACACTTTTTTTGCGCTGTTTACAGATGTCACAACCTTTGTATGGAGGCGGAACAGTATTCACCGATGTCAAATCCACCGTATTTCCTTCTAAGGTGAATCATGTTATAGTTCTTTTGCAAAATATAAGAGATCCATCTTCGAGTGCTCATAGCTAAGGAGTCATTATCCTGGTTTACTATGTAATAAGGAATGTGGGCCACAATTTGGAATGTTAATCGTTTTTGCCTTCACCTTCTTTAGTAGACGAATATCTCACCTCTGAGATATTTGCAAAACTCGGTACCATAGATGTCTGCGGGAGGAGCGAATGAGCTATTACCCTTTCAGTAGGCTAACTCGTTCACCACCACACCATGTGTGTGTTTCGTTTTGCCTTCTTCTCAGCCGTATGTCTATCTTTAAGTGATATCAGCAATCACCCGTCAACGGGATTGATCTGGCGAGTACAAATCGGCATTGAAACCAGGTAAGCTAAAGCTGTATTATAAATTACAGCTTAATTGCGTTCAATGCCGATTTGCACTCCAAAGATTAATCCTGTTAGCGGGTGATTGTTGATGTCACCTATAGATAGAAACATGGCTGAGAGAAATCCATATTTTCTTTTTGAGTTTCAAAATTCGTGTCCTACAATATGACGTACGAAGTCTTACAGAACGACGCGCTGTTCTGGTACAATCTGCACAAATTTGGCGATGGCGACACCAGGACGCGCCATGCGGCCTGCCCTGTGCTTGTCGGTGTGAAATGGGTAACTGAACATTTTCATTGTTTCCACTTAATCTTAATTGGCTAATTCCGAGCCGAGCAAATTCGCTTTTTTCCACTTCTGTTTTGTTTCCATGCATGTCTTTTCGTTTTTCTAAGTATATTATGGCAATGTTTTGTTCTATTTATGAGCTTCCACGATGTTGTTACGAAAAAGTCATTTGTTGGCTTGTTCCCCTTTTCAGAATCACAGTAATTTGAATTGCATATCGAAGTCAAGTGTTTCTTGGAACTTTTCCTGAAAGTTTCCAAACTTTGAACATCGAGAATTTTGAACATACGGTGTTCTACTTCACGATTCCACTCGATGCGACTATGAAGACCCACACTGCAAGAAACAACTACTGGGGACAGTCGACTCGAACCCCTTACAGCTCTGAAGAAGTCGAAAACGACGAAACGTTATCGATAACATAGAGCGTTTCGTAACAACCTTGTGTAACGTACATTATCGTTGTAGGTACTCTATAAAGTTAGCTCTATTTCGCAATCCATTCAAATCAGAATCGATGCTTACCAAAAGTCATTCGGAAAGCTGCTTCGTATCGACGCCGATTGATTTTTAATTGCGATGGTTGACTATGATGTGGAAGAACAGCAAAAAACGTTCTACACTTTCCATTTCTATGAAAAATTCGAACTTAATAGTAACATTTCTTTTTGGATTGTTAAGCCAACACAGGGTTGATAAATAGTTTTATTTGACTAACGTTACATTGTCTTCGTCTTCATCAGCGCCGATGATTCGAGTCGATGGTCCACAGTTGTTCGTCTTCTCGATGTGGCTCCTTCGTCGTCGTACCAGGTCGTATCTTCTTCAGTGGATCACCGCTCGAATGAGGCAATCTCACCCGGCAGCGCTCTTTTATACAGGACGATTGTTGTTGATATGACTATTCGTTGATAATAACTTGTTTTTCATCGAATAACCTATTCAGCAGCGGTCGTTATTATGTTAAGTAGCACATAGCAAATAGCAAATCGAGATTTTTCAAACCGACTGTCACTTGACTTTAGCATTGACCTCATCGCTTCTGTGTAAAACTAAAACGTGGAAATATTAACCGAATAAACGCCTTTATCAACCTTGTGTTGTCCTATTAATCCAATACGGTATTGATTACTAAAGCCGAGCTTGGATGTTGGTCGGTTTGAAAATATTATTAACATTTTGTTACAATCATGTTTTATCTCAAGAGTTTCTGGTCTGTGTTTTTAATGTTTTGTTTAGGTGTCGAACAAATGGATTCACGAACGAGGAAATGAATTTCGTCGTCGATGTGGATTGAAGATGAGCGATGCTGAGAGGTATAACTCTTTTCAATGACAGAAGATCTCAAATACCAGTTTCTCAGTATTTCCGGATGCCACCGGACATCTGTTTTCCTCCTTCGTCTATTCATAAGTACACTAAATTACTGAATGACGTTGAAGTGACTTGTGAGGATTAGTCGTTAGTGAGTTAAATTATTTGAACTCCAACAGTGGTTACTCCATTCTGACCCCGAGGGGATAGAGACTCCCGTCTGAGAATGTTGGCCAGTGTGCTACCATTATGTGAGTGAATCACTCGTTCTTCGATGTTTTAGAAATTCATTTATCTGTCGTCATGTTCTGAATGAACGCCGTTAAACCACTTCCCTTTTTCGAATTTTTGCTTTTCGAGGGTTTCCTATGATTTCTAATAAGAATTCGTTACAAACCAACGCTGTTGTCATTCCAAATCTGAGTAAGTCGGTCCTATAGAAAGTTCACTTCCTGATTTTCCGAACAAACAACACTCCCTGTTGTCAGCAAAAGAGGTTGCCTTTTTATCTTGCACTTTCTTTATTTACTGTTTGAAATCATTGAAAAGCCGTTGGCGTTAGTGAGATGTAAAAGAATAGAAGCTGTTGTAGTTTAATATTTTGATAGAGATAACAGAGACACAGTAGTTGGTATTCCAGGTTTGTCGGAGATTTGGGCTTCGGACCAGAGCCACGAGTAGCGCCCAATCTTAGCCCGGACCTCTCTAAGGACATTTTTAACACCATATGAGCCTGCTCTCCGATTTTTCCCATATTTCTCTGTGATGTAGTGTTATGTTATCGGGTGGCGACTTCTTGTTCTCCAATGCTCTACACCATTCATTTCCTCCCGTTGTTTTTTTCTGTTTTTTTTTCGTTTTTTTTTTGTTTTTGTACCATTAACGGGCAACACTTCTGCTCGCATTAGAAATCCTGCCTCAAGGAGTTTAATGATCCTCTTTGGCGCATTTTCACTTTTTGTTTTTGCCACATATGTATCGCTTACAGAATTTCACTGTGGAAAAGTATGTTATAAACTGAAGAGATGTCTGCATCCTGTACCTGTTTCCCCACGAATAATCTACTGACTCAGGCGAACATTGATCAAGTGGTCTTTCGCCCTTTTGCTCACCAAAGCTGTTAAGAGGGTTACGCTCGTTTAAGTGACCCAAATAGCATTATAGCTTTGGGATCAGATCTTTTACTTTTACGATTTTTGAAATGTATCGCCAGGTAGCACTCTTCTAGAGAAGCAGCGGACAAACTCAATTGCGATAAAAAATTACCAGTGGAGAAACAATTTATAGCAATATTGTGAATGTAAGGGACGTGTGGCACAGTGGTCTAAGGGCCTTGCGATACACACATGGGATCGGTCTCCTTGCCTTTGACCCATCAAGCCTTCATCCCTCTAGGGTCAGCAAATTGGTACCAAACCTATCCGGAAGGGTAGTAGCATTGAGTCGACACATCGATAGGCCATCGCGAGTCATTGTAAAAGCTGGACATGCATTCCACCACCTCCAAACGATGTTTAACGAAGTTGAATGCATGGCGCATCCCTCAGGGTTGGATTAACGGATTAGCCGTGCATCATCGACTTCATCAAATATTGTTAAAGGAGATTAAATGCATATCTGGCCTCTGCTATGACTTGCTGGGAGCCCGTCGATTCGTAAAGTCAGTGTTTTTACCCTCTCAGATAAGCCTGGAACTCACTTCTCGACCTCAAATGGATGGAGGGTTTAGTGAGTCTATGTGTGGAATCAAATTAATGACCACATGCGCATTGCAGAGCTCCACCATTGAGTTACAAGCACCGACATAAAATATTCTATTACCTAACTGGACGTCAAACAGAAGCTTAAAAAAACAATGTATTGACTTCTACTTGCTGCTTCTTCCTTTTTCATGGCCATGTACTATGTGAAATGCAACCACAAGTATGCTGAGATGTGAGGAGAACTCGAGACCTCAGCTGGACTTCGAACCTGCGATTATCTTCACAGGACTCACGTGAAGTCCACCACAACGGTCGAGGCTTATGCGTTACGTTTCTATCAGCCAAATTTTTACTTTATCTTTGCTATCAGCAATCCTGTCAGTGGGGTCCGGGAGGTTGTAAGTCGCCATTGGACCTGTTTAAAAAAAAGAAGCATATACTAACGGAGTTCAGCAATATGTTTGCGTCACATTTTCTGAGTAGTCTGCAGGGTTTCCTAAATCCTTCAAGGATCGACTTCCTTCGTATTGTTTTCCACACCTCTTCTGTGTTGTCGGGACCAATCTGCCAGTGTTTCTATGACGTTACTCTAATGTTTCCACGTTGCCAGTGGTGTTTGGTGGCTGAAAATCTCATATCGGCCGTGTATCACAATAAACATTCTTTGTTCACATGCGATACAAGCAAATATTGCTTGGCAGAAGTTTGACAATTGACAATCATCTCTTTAATTTCATCCAGTTTCTAAATTCTTGCAATTTAATTTCTACACTCCGTCGTCATCCTTGCAATCCATCTTGTGTTCTTTGCTCCGTTACCTTTCTATGTCGAGGGCGTTCTGTGGTACTAGTGGCTTTTCAGAAAGTACAATATCGACGAGACAATGAACTAGTATTATCCGATTATTTGGACATTTGGATGACTTGTTTTCAGGAGTAGTGCCAACGCTGTCATATTTCTACTCATTTCTTTCGCATACAAATGCCGTCCACAGCTAGATATTTCGTTGTACTCCCTTCTTGGATTGATTGTACTGCCTCAATTTGAAGTGTTTTGTTAGATGATTCCATACTACTCCTTCCCACTCCAAACTACCACTGGTGAAGAAAGCAACAAACTGTTTGACACTTAGAGACTTCTTTCCCTTCTACAACATGAGAAATCATTGATGGGACCTATATGCATGTAATTGTAAAATATTTGCTATATTTTATTTTTACACTACCCATCTCCACATCTATTCTTCTGATCGCCGGCATTTCTTGCATTTGATTCGTTTCCTCCCATCCATCATCTATGAACATCTTCGGGGTTTCATGTGGATTCGGATAATGCTTTAGAATTTTTGGTTTTCTTTATAAATATGGCTAAGTCCATTTTTCAGAAAGTAAAATATCGACGAGACAATGAACTAGTATTATCCGATTATTTGGACACTTGGATGACTTGTTTTCAGGAGTAATCCATTCCATTTTTTCTGGAATGGCTTTACTATAGCTTTATAGGCCTTCACTACATTTGCTCACCATCATGGATCGGAGGTTTCCTTCCCTAACAAATTTGATACTAATTTTCCAACAACGCACTACTGGAACACTTTCTGGCCCACTGTAGAGAGCGAGGTCGTGTTGGATGGCATCACTAACATTGCGCTACCCTCGGCATCTCTGTAAATTAAGCATCATTAAACATTTTTTGTAAAGGCGCTACAAGCCCACAGCGTGTGCATGGCATTTTACAAGCTCCATATTATGAGAAGTTTATCTTAAAATTCATGTAGTTTGAAGGATTTACACGTGCTTTATGTCTTTAAAATCCAAAATGTTTACAATATGCGTTTTTTATAATATAATGTAATTTATAATCGTTGCAATCTACGTTTATACTTTTGGTGGCTATCATTCAAGGAACCTGAACAGATGTGTTGCAAGGGATTCATCCAGCGTTAGCCTACTTGATACGCATTGCGGCAAATCGGAATTTTTGTTGTGACATGCTGTTACTTGCTTATAGCAGGCCACACATTGTCTCCATTTCTACGACACTGCAACGGCAACGTTTCCGAACATGTCGCAGTTGGAAGGCCTAGGAATATTAGTAATTTGCGAAAAATTAAGAAAGAAAACCAAGAAGGAAAGTTAGAAAACCAGGCGGAGTACAAACTGGTACAACTGGTGAAGGATAAAGCCTTGGGTGTTGATCAGCCACTGAGGTGAGCGTCATCCATTCGTCGTTGCTTAGCTCGTGAATGCAAGCAATGCAATGTGCGTATTGCATGGTTTCTCTAACCACTGAGTTACTCATGTCTCTACCATCGAAAACGAGTCCATCCACAAGAGATTTTAGTTTTTCCCCAGACGACATTATTTAAGCATAAATAATGGATAAAGGATGAAGCTCTCGGCGTTGATCAATCCCTGGAGGAGGCGCCATGCATTCAACTTCATTAAGTATCGTTTGGAGGTGATTGAATGCATATCTGGTCTTTACAATGACTTGCAATTGCCTACGGATGTATCCAGCCAGTGCTGCTATCCTCCCAGACAAGTCTGGCACCAATTTGCGAACCCCGGAGGGATGGGAGGGTTTGGTGGGCCAGGGTCGCGGGGATCGATCTCATGTGTGTTGCAGAGCGCCAGGACCACTGAGCCACACGCGCCTTTTTAAGCATATGAAAGCCAATTTTATCGGCAGCCGACTCTTCTTTTCACTGTAAGGAGTCACATTTGTCGTAAAGAACGGAGGAACGTATTAAGATGTGCGAAATTAAAGTATAAGAATCCAATCAAAGACACCGTGCAATACACTAACTGTAGCCATGACTCAGGAGCAACTACTTTTACAACTTCCGGCGTGAGCAAATTACTATAATACATATCTGAGTGGAGAAACCACCGTCCGACCCAGAAAACCTTGTTATCGTTTGCAATGAAGACATGGAAATGCTCTCACAGAAGTAATCCAAGATTTTAGGGAAAATCAACCCGACCAGCATTCTACGATATTTAGAAAGAAAACAAGATGCTCAAGTAAAGACGGAATGCACACGCAAATCCGAAGACCTTAAAGAATTAAGGATATGAGGAAAGATTCGAGCGGAAAATGGGATAGATGGGTACAATTCGAGTTATATAAAAAGAATATGCTGTGAAAGGGTCAACATGCTACTAACATGGATGTGTTCGGATAATGGACATCACGCACAAAAAGTTCGAAACTTTCCAGAAGCGTGGTAGTTACGTAGAAAAGTATAGGTGATACCTATGAAGGTAGTAAAAACAGAAAAAAAAAACAAAGCTTTAGCCAGATTCATAGAAAAACCTAGTTGTACAGCTTGAAAGTATAGCGAAATATGCGTCTCAGTCTGTCAGAGGGGAAAATAGATCGTATGAATCATAAGCGATTCACAGCGGTCTGACGAGTACTTCGGCGGTTTATTGCGAGAAACTCACAACAGAAAATTGGGCGTCGTTGCGAATGTATTGATTTTTGAACAAATCAGTATTTATTTAATTTTTATGTACTCTTGTGTAGTTATTTTATCGTGAACCGCAAAATTTATGTGGCAAAGGGAGAGTGGGATGGTCAGCTGTGTTGTGTAGTGCAACACGGGACTTACGACGCCTCCAAAGGAGTGAACTTCTAACATGGGCAATTAAATCTTCATTTAGAGAAGTCATGAGTCAATACAATGCAATATGTAGACGTGAATGAGTTATATAGGGGTTATCATAAGCAGGCAACGTCGAGAATGATCGGGAATAGCTTGTTCAATGATGGTGGCTCATGTTCTACTCAAGCACTATGCAGAAGATTAGGAATCTATGAGAACTGAGAGAGCTTTTATAACGATTTGGTTATCAAGGACTTTTAACGAACTGTTCTCAAACAGCTGGAGGAGTTGAAAAACTGTTCGCAACTAATTAGAAATATCGGAAAGCTCGAAAAGTGGATTCTACGAATATCCTGTAGATTCATCATGGAACAATGACAACAATAAATTTGAAGCCGAAGGAATCAAACAAACT